GACCGCCGGGCCAGCGGCGGGCCTCTCTCGAGAGGAGGGGTCAGTCGGGCCTGTCCCTCTACACGGGGAAAAAGTCAAAAAAATGTCCGGGGACGATGTTTGCAATTTGGGGTTATTTTGGGAGTATTTTTCGTTCGTCCAGAATCCCTCTGTAGGAGGAGGGGCCCGGCCTAAGAGGAGTGGGGGCGCGCCTGGGGGGCCGAGGCTGCGGGCACGCGCGGCGGCCAGGCGCGCGCCGGGTCGGCTGACGGGGGGGGAGCAGGTGGCAGGCCTCCCAGATGTTCGCTGTCGGCGCGAGCGAAATGGGTGCGGGCGGGAAGAATGGGTGCGATGCCTCCTTCCGGAGGAGTCTTCTACCCTCCCCCTCCCCCCCTGAGCGCGCCGCCAAGATGAGGCAGGGAGGAAGAGGGGGAGGCCGGAGGCAGGTCGGGCGGGTGGTACTGGGGGGCGACTTTAACAATTCTGGACGCCCGAAACTGGTACGGGAAGAATGGGTGCGATGCCCAGCAGCAGTTCCTGTTCATTCTGAACGGGACGCGCTGTCCGCGCCGCCGCGGCCTGTGTCCATTTGAGACAGACGGCCGCCTGCCCAACAGCGGCCGCTGTTGGTTTGGGACAACATTTGTCGTTGGGCAGTGTGCCCATGTTTTCCGTGCCCATTTCGGGCGTCCGAATCCAGGCCTCCCAGATGTTTGGATGCAGTTTCTGGGCGGTGCAATTCTGATTCTGCCCCGGTTCGGAACCTTGTTCCATGCAGATGTATCTTCAGTCGCGCTTGTCCCTCTACATGAGGAATATTCAAAACTAGTCAAACAATAGTCTGGGGACGACTGCTTGACAATTTTTTAAACATGTTGTTTCTCATATTTCTCAAGCGTTGCCAGCTGTTCTCCCAAATCAAGACTAGCCTCGCTTAATCCGGCTTAACCCCGCCGCTCCATCCGCAGCCTGCTCCGACGTAGCAGCCCCCCGCTGGGGCTCCATTTTTCCGTTCGTCCTTCCGACGAAGACTTCCCAGTTGCTGCCCCCTAACAGATCCGGGGGAGCAGCAACTTTCGGGACGATCAAGACGGGTGCGGAAAGGATGGGCCCATAGGCCGGGCCTCCCAGCTGGGGTCGGAGTAGACGGGGTCGGAGGATCGCGTCCTTTCGGCGATGCATCGGCGATGCGGCCCGATGCGGAGCCCGATTTTCCCCACGCCGACGCCGCTGACGCATCGCCCACGTCGCCGATGTATCGTCGATGCATCGCGGATGTATCGGCGGCGCGGCGAGATCCACCGACGTAGTCTTTTCCGATCCCATCTAGGAGGCCTCTCATCTCGGGACGATCAAATCGGGTACGGAAAACATGGGCGCCAAGACCGACAGCAGTTCCCGCCGATGTTGAACAGGACGTACTGCCGGCGTCGCCGCGGACGTTGTCCATTTGAGACACAGCGCCGCCTGCCCAACCGCGGCCGCTGTCAATTTGGGACAGCGTTTTTCCTGTTGGGCATCGTGCCCGCTTTTCCCGTAGCCACTTCGGGCGCCCAAAGTCAAGACCCCCCCGAATTCGGGAGAACGAGTGCCATAAACATAAACATTCATTCTCCGGAAGTCCGCGCGGCTTCCCCAGCGGTTCCTCTGATGCCGCCTTTGGCGCTTCGCGCGCCAGGGAGGAGGGTACAGTACCGATCCCAGAAATCCGGTGGAGCTCAGATTTTTTTTTAGGTCTTCTGTTTTTTTCTTCGGAGATGGGGTCCAGGCCTCCCAGCTGGGCTCCGAGCAGGTGGGGTCGGAGGATCGCGCCGCATCGGCGGCCGGGGTGTGGAGCCTGGATTTCTCCACGCCGTCGGCGCCGATGCATCGCCGACTTCGTCGGCGCACTGGCGATGCGGCGCGGTCCGCCGACCCCGTCTGCCTATTTGGGGCGCATCCGTGTAGGGAAGTGGGGGGGAGCGGAAGCTGCTGCGCGAATCATTGGCGCCATCGACATGGGTACGGAAGGTGTGGGGGCGAAGACCAGCAGCGGTTCTTAACCGCTTCGGAGAGGGATCACTGTCGGTGCTGTCACCCGCGTTGTCCGCTTGCTGTGGGGGGGGGGGGCGCGAGTGCGCGAAGGTGGACGCGCGTCGCGCATCGCGGCGCCCTTCCCTCCACCCACGCCCTCATCTCCTCCTCCACTCCCCCTCGCCTGTCCCCCTCCTGCTTCTCCTCGTCCTACTCCTCCTCCTCCTCCTATTCCTCCTCCTCCTCCTCGTCCTCCTCCCCTGCAGTGACGGCAAGGGCACTCTGTACCACCTCAGTTTTCAATGTGTAGTTTTCGCTTCCCAGCGCCGCGAGAAACTGGATCCTGTTGTTGCGAAGGTTGCTCGACAAGTTGGAAATCTTCCGACCTCGGTGGGGGAGCTTTTTTTGTGGATGTGTGTTTCCCAGTCCCGCGTCCTGGGTCAGGACCCCTCCTCGAGACCCCTTGGACCCGTGCACCCGCCACTGGCAGTGGCCTCAAGATGGGCCCTTCTTCGTCCCTGAAGGGGCCCACGTTTTCACGGATGGCTCGGATTTTGAAGGGATGCTTCCAGGACTAAGGACCGCGGGATGGGCAATCGTGGTGCTCGACAGCCAAGGTCGAACTTTCGCTGCATTGTTTGGAGTTGTGCCCTCCCTCGGAGCACCAGAACAACTGGCGAGGGATGGAGAAGATTTTGCTGTGCTTATGTTGTCTCGCAGGGCGGTCCTAGCACATAATGTTTCCCTCTATGTGGGCTGTGCGGCCGCGGTCGGCTGCACGGGGGCGGCTGGCGTCTCGTCGGCACGGGCCCACTGATGGGCCGAGATCGGGAACCGTCTGGAAGCATACAAGTTGTTAAAATGTCTCGCACACCTCGATGGCTGATGTGAGAGAAGGACGTATCACGGACTTGCAGAGATTTGGGGACTCTCAGGCCGACCGTCTTGCGAAGGAGGGAGCTGAGCAATTCCGTGCCTCCTTGAACGACTGACTCCTGATCAGAGGATATATGCAGTTCGTGCGCCGTGTTGGAATGTTCTGCGCCAGCCAGCAAGTGGAGTGCAGGGAACTGTGCATGAATGATCGCGTCGGACTGGAATGGCTGGCTGGTCCTGGGATGCCCTTCCCTGGGGCCTCTGTGACGGAGTCGGGAGCGCCTGGAGGCCCAGGGGCTCCTGGCCAGGCGGAGGGCCCAGGGGTGCCCTAGCGAATGGCCTCAGGAGATCCCGCCCCCCCCCCCCCCCCGACCTTGGGAGCCTGGTGCCAGCTGGGGCACGCTTTGGAGCAGGATGATGTGTATGAGTCAGATGGTTTCACGTTTCATGACACGATGCTCTGTTGCACAGCATGCGGAGCCATGGCGCATTCCAGCACGAACCGGGGGAATCTGCCTTCGAGGTCTCGGCCCTTGGCTTCTGGGGGCCGCACCTTTTACTTGGACGTGTTTCGTGCTGGACGATATCCAGCCGATCGGAATCCACAGAGACTGACGATGGCGTATGTAGGGCACCCCTCCCCTGAAGTAAAGTGGGAGTGGGCCCTTTTTTTTTTTTCTTTCTCCGCCTGGTCCCAGGGACTTCAGGGACCCCCGAGGGCGAGGGAGGCCGCCAGGTCCGGCGGCCGCGTGCGCGAGGCCCCCGCCGTGGACTCCACGCCGTGGACCTCATCAGGGGCCTCGCGCTGATCGGCCTCGGCCGCGAGGGCCTGGAGGCCCTGGGACGGGAGGTGGAGGCCAGGCAGGCGCGCGGGGAGGGAACTGAGGACGAGGATCTCCCTTGCGGCCCCGCCTAACTCGTTCCCCTCTTTCTTGTGCGCGTCGAGTGCGGTCGTACCCTTTCACGGTCGTGAGCGTCGTCCTCCTCTCCCTCCACCTTTTCGTCTCCCTCCTCCTCCCCTCTCCTCCCTCTTCCTCCTCCTCCTCCCCCTCCTCCTCCCCCTCCTCCTCGGGCCTGTTCGGAGAGAGGGCCATCGTCCTAGGCAAAGTCCTCCTCCCCCTCCTCCTCCTCCTTCTCGGTTTTTCTCGGTCTACCGCGTTTTCGGATCCTGCTCGAGAGCACCTCTCAGCACAGATTGGTCTGGACGACCCGCCCTCGCTCGCTCCGCCGCGTTCCAGAGGTGATCTGGCCGCTTCGGCGGGAGGGGGTGGGAGGGTCCGGGTTGGGGCGGGGTTCGACCTTCAGCGTGGCGTTGCCCTGTTTGGGTTCAGCTCTCGGGAAGTGGCTGAGTCTCTCCGGGCTCAGGCGCGGGAGCGCCGTAGGCAGGTGGCGCCGCCCCCCGACGACCTTGACTGCTAAATCGATTGGAATTCAGTTTGCACGCGAGCGACTGTGGCGGCATCTTTCCAGCCGTTGCCGAGTTCCTCCTCGTCCTTCTCTTCATGTTATTCACCTTCCTCCTCCTCCCCCTCCTCCTCCTCCTCCTCCCCCTCCTCCTCCCCCTCCGCAGCCCGTGAAGTTAGGTCGCCAATGACGGGAGAGAGGGAGGGAGGAGAAACGGCCCGGGAGGGAAGAGGAGGAGCAGGAAGAAGAGGGGGATAAGTCGAAGGGGGTGCAGGATGCGGATTAGAAGGGCCGTGTCCTTCTATGATGTGCTCTCACCCTGTCACCTGCCAGCTGGTAGCGATCCAGTCCGGGACCGACCCCCTTACCCATCGAAATGCATTGCGGAGTCTACGCGCCCCATGCAGCGCTGGACGTTTTTGGCGTCGACGTTGCAGCGCGCGCGGTGGGAAAAGGAGGGGGCGCGCACTCCGCGCGCGCGAGGGCAATGTGTCGCCCTCGCCCCAGCGCCGCGTTCGTTTCCCTTCGGACGGAGTTGAGGGCGCGGCGCGCGCCCTCCTCATCGCCAGCCTCGCCGACGCGAGGGCGGACGCACACGCGTCGCTCTCGCCAGGGGGCGGTCGTCTGCCAGGGGGCCCTCGCCTGGGGGGGTGGAGGCGGAGGGGGAGGAGGGGGAGGAAGAGTAGGGAGAGGGGGAGGAGGAGGGAGGAGGAGGAGGCGGAGGAGCA